TTGGCCTTTAGTGTTGGGAGGCCTGAACTAGTTTGGGGCATCCACTACTTAGGGCAATTCATGCATGAATTATTTGCTGGATATATAGTAGGACTTTGGCAAGTAACCGGTAAGCAGGACGAATAAGTATTTTGGGATATAATTGGAGGTGCGGGGTTTGTAGACGTGTTGGGCTGTAAAGGCTTGGTAGATCTAAGAGAAGGTGGCGTACCCCTAAATGGAACTGTACTACCTTTCTTTTGGGTGGAGTCTGATCCAGTTTTGGAGCCTCACCGTTCTGGCGCCAAACCACGGGTAACTTAACTGTAGAGCTTGCAGCACCCTGTTGAACAGGGGAAGTTATCCGTCTAGCTGATGTAGACGGATTTTCATGTGTCCCAGCGGGGCTTTCCTGAGGGCAAGAAACGACAAATGGGGCTGTTGATGCTAATATAGGTGCAGGTGAATACGTCAAATGGCCTATGTGAGAGGGAGATGTAGGAGTAAGGGGGAAAAAGGGGGTCAGATGTCGCAGGAATAGGACCAGCTGAGTCCTCAAGGCCACTTGTATTATGACCGAGTTGGTGAGCACAAGAATGAGCGGCAGTCGGTTTACTTAAGAAGAGGGACCTGATTCTACGCTCGATGGAGTAGGATCATGATTAAGTAAAAAGTTTGCATTTTCCGGGTACACAGAGACACGATGTCTATGAGCAAAGATAGTGTCAACCTCGATTGATGAAAATAATTTGACTAAGATGGGTGGATTTTTGTTACGGGAGGACAAGCGTTTTGCATCGGCTTTTTTGTAGTTAAAACCACACGAATGCAGGAAATTAGTCGCAACATCAACTGGCCGAGCATATCGGGGAACATTTTTCAGCAAAAGTTGTAAGCACGCTTTTGACTATCATTAGATTCACTGGCGATCGGATAAACAAGTGAGTCAAGACGCCTACATTCTTGAGAGGGAATATCGGAGATGTTCCCGTCGAATAATTTCCCAAGAATTGAGAGCAGAGTGCCAAACTTTAGTAATAAAATCATTGCCGTTGTAAAGTGCAGACAGATTAAGCTACCTATCGGTTACAACGGATGACGACTGACTAGTAATATTATCTGACTTAGATATAAGTAAGCTTTCTGAATTAGATTTAGTTAAGCCTTCCGACTTAGATTTAGTTAAGCCATGCTTATGTACAGGGGCCGAGAGCCTTCACCGACCTGTGATTTTTACTGTCATCTTATCTCGAGGCAAGGTGTAATCAAGAAAACTTCTGACAGACAAGGTGACTTTATTTCAGCTAAAGGCCAATGTTGTAAAAAAGGTACAGTTAGAGAGAAATCGAATGCACGAAATGTGGATTGTAGAGTGCCACTGGTGGTGACAGGCACAGACTAGCAGAACTCAAAAAGGAAATGGCAACGGGTAGTTCTGAATGAATAGGCCTGTATTTGAGGAAATCTAGCCAAAACAAGGCTACAATCGTTAGGTCTCTCAGAAAAACCAATTAAAATAATATCTTCCAATTATCTTCAAATTGAAAACCATCGGCTTGACCTTGACGCTTGTCAACTGTCATCTAATACCTGCTCTTGTGACGTTTTGAGTAATTAACGCGTTTTCAACATTTTTCTGCATCTTTTGGAGGTCAGTTTAATGGTAACTTTGTTTTTTCGTCAGCCATGCAGGTATTACAGCTTTTTCATATCGGTTCAGCGTCGTTTCCCACATAAGGGTCTGGATTTTATCCAGCAAATGAGATTTTATCCCTCTTTGTGCGTTTTCGGAGTGACGCCTTGTTGCTCTGATTCACACGCGAGCTGCCAGATCGCGGTAACCTGCACTGTGTACAGAATACATTTTCCAACTGTCGCATCTCTCCTTCCATGGTTATTAACCAATTGAAACGGGATGTGTTTTGTGTGGTTTCCGTTGGTCAGATATCGCCGAACACCACAATGTATAAAACCTGCTGCCAACTTATTATATTGCAAATTGCTCCATATTTATGCTACTTATATACGCTTCTGAAATATTTATGTTCAGGCATTTCTAACGGTATCCGCGTTCCTTTACAAGGATCGTTTCTATTCCTTATCCCTTTCTTGAGAAATCACTGCCAAATAACATTCCAAAAACGTCGGTAACAAGGCGCTCAGTGTATCGACCGCAAATACCTTAAATATTTTATGCTAACCCAGCCAAATAACCGCGGGTGGGGTTTTGTGGATATTTTCCTTCTCGCAGTGTGAAAGCAATCGGGGGCGTCCAGTAAAACCTCATTATAGTGGTTAATCTCCTACTTTTCAGTCTAGTTGAGTTTATTGAAGAGACAGGCGTGAAACTTCGTGAACCATATTTGTAACGCAAACAGAGTGCGGTGTAAAGAGAAACCATGTGGGTTTACAAGTTTATCGTGAGTCTCAGAGGTTGAGCTCGGTCTCTCTTCGCTGTTGCTCATCTCCGAACGTAAATATATCAAGGTCCCTTTTAAAACTTTCTGCCGATGGTGGAGTCATAACATCTGCATGGAGGACATTCGATGGCTTGACCAATCTGACAGAGAAGCAGGACCTCCGCACATCTGGCTTTGCCAGCTGAATGTGCGGTTTTGATTGGTGACCTCTAATAAAACTGTGTCGAAGAACCTTGTAAGAAATTTTTATCTATCGCGCTACTGGAGACTATGTGGAATAGTAAGAATGTCGTGTTTCTCAGGCAAATGAGAAAACTGACACGATATATTGGAATACTGAGCATGACTACGTAAATGATCTAGAAAAAGAGGGTTCGAAGATTCTGAACACTAACGAAGGCATCCAAAGTAAGATCCTTTACATGCTCGAATCTGGTTTCGAATGTGTGCGGCGCCTAATATTACACCACCGATATATCGGGAGACTGTAGACCCATGGACGAACATAGTTTTGAGGCATATTTTTTGGGAAATTACCTCAGCTTCCCTTTGCTATTCTCATTACCGCTGAAATTCGCTGGTCAGCAGCGTAGGGTTCTCGGTTTTCGTTTGAGTTCATGCAAATGTTTTCACAAAAAGCACAAAATACTTAGACGACTGAATATTTCGGATTCCTTAGCAGCGTGTTCGACCTTAGTCACAGGAACTAAAAGGTTAATGTGTGATATGGCAACAAGTGGCACATATTTAATCTATCGCGATGTCTCATGTGTAGGGAACTCGTAATTCTTATTAATGAATAAATAAATAGATCATACAACGCCCAATGGCAAGATGCCCAAAAAGCCCTGCAAAAAATAATTTCACTTGAGGCGGTTATTGCGAAACAAAAGCCGCTTGCAGTACGCTCAGTTTCAATCAGATCTTAAAGGCTCTGAATTCATTTTTAGGATAAAGCGCTCGCGTTCCAAACAGTCGCAACATTATTTGTGTGTTATGGTCAGTCATTACGCACGATTGAAACATGTTACGATCAAATTGTCCATCCCCAAAAACGAATGCTCTTAAGAAAAATACTTGACAACATTATTGGAAGAATACTCGAACTGAAACAAGAGATGGTCAACCTGGATGTCTCTGAGTATCACTACATTGACGATGTCCTCTCAGATCTCAAAATAACACCAACTGATGCCCAGATAACTATTCCACGCTACTACGTTCAAGATGCATGGAAAGTCATTCAAGATCGTGCTGCATTTTTGAATACAATTAGAACTAATTTTGAGGGAGAAGCGAAGGAGGTATGAGTGAGAATCTATTTATATCTCAAAAATCAGAGAAGTCAAGCGTGGTTAACGTAAATTCTAAGATTTTGTAAGATAAAATACTGTATGATGCTGAAACAACTCCGCGTAACTAAAGACGTTGTTATAATCATATCAATTTCAGACTTGCTTATTTTTTTCTATCTGCTTTAGGGAAGCACTAATAGCATAAGGACTAATTCAGCAATGTCGGAACTTAAAAGGAATAATTATGCAAAGAATTTCGAGTGAGGTGTAAAAATTGATTAGATATAACATTAGGAGCACATATTGTCCTTAACATTCTCTTCTTCGAAAGTTGTCCATTTGCAATATACTACCACGCTATAGACCCTTAAAAACACTGAGTTCCACCGCTCCGGACGCTGTAATCATTCACAAAGCCACGTCTTATTGTCTTTGCTGGCATGTTTGCTCTACGTCTTTTATAGTGAAGCTTAAATAAATATTTGCTACTCTCAGATAGCGTCGAAAATTCCAAATTTCTTGGGTTATTTCCTAAACGTTTTGGAGAATTTTACTGACTTGTAGTGCTGCCTCTATTATTTCGTACACTATGAGTGTCATATCACAGGTTCTTTGAACATTATAAGGAGGAAGCTCTAATGCCCATACCTGACGCGGTCCTGCTTATCCAAAGGCATGAGCGTGCTCGACAAGGTCGATTGAGAGCCAAATTTATGAAGGAAATAAGAGAACAAGAAGAAGCTGACGCAAATCTCACCACTGAAACAAAAGCTTTACCGAACCCAAAAGATGCAGCAATCTTGATCCAAAAGGGGAGTAGGTTTCTTGGTTTGGTAACTGTTTTAATTACTGTTGGTAAAAAAATACCTGACCTGAGGCCGTGCGTATGTCCACTTAAGTATTGTCTCCTATCTTCTTCATTATAGACATGGCGGGCCCACTTAGCCAGGAGATACACACAAAAAATGCGAACGGACGAGTTCATATGGCTCGGGATGGTAATATCTTGTCAGCCTGTGTATTCTTTAACAACTCATTCTTAATGTTACTCTCCGTCTTTTTTGATACAATTGAAACCACCAAAGGATGTGTTATGGAGGAATATGTTTCGCCTGCATTATAGGATGTAAACTGTTATAAGGTATAATGCGGAAATCTTCCCAGATTCACTTCAGTTCATGAAGACGTTTAGTTTAGTCAGCTCATAGTCTTTAAACTAAAAAAATTACACTCAAGTAAAGTTTTGCGATACTTGTAGGAACCTCTAAATCCGCATTATATTACTACCGTGACTGGTCCTACAAAAATGGCCAAAAGGATTGAGGGACTTCGACGTATCGCGCAAGCTATGAATGCACAGGAGTACGAACAGGCCCTGGTTGCAATTAAGGAGAAAATTCGCCAAAATGAAGGTGTTGAGATGCAGGATAGAATGCAAGAGCAGATTCGCCAGTGGTTTCTGGAATGCCGGTGAGATATTTATAGAGTGTTTGTTTTAGTAAATTTTTAATGCTCTACTCTAGTTGGGATCTTATTCCCAAATACTAAACGCTATTTTGACAGCTACCGTTTATAACAGATATCTGTTTGAAAAATTTCAAAGAACCTGTAACTAATCTGTAAACATACTGACTCTATTATTGCACAAGAACGGCTCAATTTTCCCTGAAGTGTTCAGTTTACTTTGTAGGTAAAACCTGTTTCATGCAACATGCAATAAGAGTTTATTGTTAGTAAACCAAAACATAAGGAGATTTGTTACTATACAACACTGACATTGTTTTTGGCTAAACTTTTTCCGACAGTTTATCAAAATTTACTTTTTATAGTTTTGAATAGCCTATCCCTTCTATGAAAATAAACGTAATGAAGTATTTGTTTCCCCGGACAGATAGGTTGTTCTGAGGCGTATTCTTTAAAATGAGTAGGTTTCTAATAAGGATGTCAGGTTAACAATTATTAAGTTTGTCTTCAGAGGCAGAAACAGATCCGACTTAGTCACTTCTTCCTGCGGTCAGCAATTCCCACTCCATTCTGCGTGAACATCGGGTACACCACGTTACAAAATATTTTCTTCGATAAAATATTACCTAAACAGCACACCAAATGACATCTCTAAAACTTGCGCAATTAGTCACTGTTTAAAGACTTTGATATTCTAATGCACTAATCCTAAAATCGGGCAGTATCTGACGCCTTTGTAAATGGGTTTTAAGAAGACACTAATGGGCGTCTGTGACTCTGACAAGATCCGAAAGATGTATGAACAGGAATGACATCAACGTAGCAATTTGCTTTATTTGGGTTTAAGGCAATTTGTCAGTGATAAACATCTATCTACCTATATATGCCAAAATCTCCCAAACACCGAGCAGTGAACATTTTTTAAGAAAATCCAAGAATTAAATAACAGAACACACCAATACATTTCAGAAGTTACTTCTTTGAGATAAAACTTTCGCTTTTGCTCTGAATGCCTATTTTACTTGTCCACTCAAGCCGAACACTAAAAATTGCTTATCATGCTTTTATAATGTCAAAACATACATAACATATTAAAACTTGTCTGAAAGAGTTCTCATTTTTCGTTACGTGATGGACTATTTCTTCCTGCTGAATAACATAGAACAGTGAATGTGTTCTTCAAAAATCACGTTTATCACCAGCAATTACGTTGATGCTGCAACGACTATTTTTGCGCCTTTTTCTGCATAATCGATTTTCTATAAACACCTTTTAATGCCTTAACCATATTTATTTGAGCCTTCTTCTGCAGTATGTTAACTCGCTTTTGAAACTGCATATCCGTCACATATTCTATCGTTCTTTGTTATCGATTATCCCAGAGATGCCACTGGAAAGTTCCCCGACTATCCGAGCGAGGAAGCAGGCGGATCTCTTTGGGTCTTCAAACAAAAACCTCCCGAAATGTTAGCTGCTGAAGAGGCCGCTCGAGTAAATTTCAAATTTTTAAATTAAGTGTATTATTTAAAACTGCAGGGCTCCGTGTGAGCATTTTTATATACAGTATGTGTGCTAATTTATGAAGTATTAACGGAAATTCTGAAATGCGTTTTCGTTTCGAGAAGATTAGTTAACTAGGGTTTAAAAATTAATCGTGATGTAAAACAATTCTTTAGTAATTCAGTTTCCTCGGAATGCTGACGTTCAAACAAACTTCAGTACGGTCACACGAAAAAACCATGCTCAATAAAAAATGGCTACTTATATGACATGAATTTCTTCAGTAATTTTCCATGCCCTTAAAAATTCAGTTATATTTTGTGGGAAACATGCATCAAAATACTCAGTCTTTTACTTATTTGGTAGAAAGTTACATCTTGTTCCAACTTTATACTCGAGGGAAGGGTATAATTTGGTTTTGAAAAGTTTCTCATTATGAGATTTTTCGATACCGTGAAATGTCCGCTCATAAAACATCGTGTCTCTGCATTTGCTAATGTGGCTTGTAAAGTTCACAATGTGGCTAAATCTTATAAAACGCATATGGTCTCCTCCTTATACCATGTAAAATGTATGGTTTGCCGTATGCAGAAAATATACGGTTTGTGGTTTGCAAACCCCCAATGCAAGTGTAACGGCAGTACGGGTTCTAAATTATTCGGGAATTGGAAACATTTTTAAAAAACGGGTTATACCCTTCCTTCGAGTATAAAGTTGGAAGAGGTAACTTTCTACCGAATAAGTAAAGGACTAAATATTTTTATGCATGCTTTCCACAAAATATAATTGAATTTTTAAGGGCATCGAAAATCAATGAAAAAATTCATGTCATATAAGTAGTCATTTTTACTGAGCATGGCTTTTTCATGCGGCCGGACAGAGGTTTGTTCGAAAGTCAGCATCCCGAGGAAACCGAATTACTAAAGAATTATGCTACATCATGATTAGTTTTGAATCCTTTTTAAGTAATCCTCTCAAAACGAAAACACATTTCAGAATTTCGGTTAACATTTCATGAGTTAGCCCACCTACTGTAAGAATACAACATGGATTTTAGGTCTTCATGCAGTCACCCTAGATACCGCTTTACTCGTCACATCTGACAGGCAGTCGAAATCCGGGTATAAATTCTAATCCAAGACATAAGGGCCTTACGAAAAGAAGAAGAACTACCGAAAATCACTAGTATGTATTCCGATTTTCTTTAGAATCGTGAAACTTTAAAATGTCTTGAGGTTAAAAACAATGAAGTTCAACTGCACAGTTTAGGAGAAAAAATTAGTAAACTGGGGGTCGGACGATTTCTCCAACCTTATTCTTGTATTTCACCTAAGATAAGATCGCTTCGCATAGTTCTTCTAAACGAAAGGTGCAATACATTGGCTCTTTATATCTTCTGTCTTCAACTTTTTAATTTTAAAGCTAGCAGCTGAACTAAAAAAGAGGGAGAAGGAAAAAGCGAAGGTCGCAAAACCGGCGACTCAAAAGAAGAAAAAGGTTCGTTGTCTTCTCCATTCATCCATATTTTGATTAAAGTTTTGCATATTTAGCCTTAAACGACAGTCTGCACAGTACTATAAAAGGCTGACACATTCAAAGTATAATTAGGGATTTCGTTATTTTGGATTCCTTTCCCTGATTATAAGTGATTTTGTTTTTTTTGACTAGAGGTATGAAAAAGCTGAGAGTATTTCAGAAAAGTAACTATGCTGTGCGCAGTATCCGCCGGGAAAGCTTCACCATTTCACTTTAAAAAAATCATAAACAGGTAGCAAACCACGAAAGTTTTCCCGTCCTTTACATAGAAAGCAGTGACAAGTGAGTTATTATTCTTTAGGATTGTTAATTTGTTGTAATGCATTACCAGGAGACGGTAAGCCTACCTAAGACCGTGGACGACAGACGTGTGACCACAAGTATTCATTAAAATTCATAGAGCAGGAGGGCTTTATCGATAATGACGTACTGTCTGTTATATCAACCGCAATGTGGGTCATACCTCTTTAAAAACAGCTCACAACATGAAGTGCGCTGTCCATGCTTTCTAGAGAACCCGATGTTTTATCACCAGTAGAGGCTGAAGTGAACGGTACTCGTGTATCCAAATGAATCAAATTTAGTACCGTTTGCTGATTGGGCGCGTAGTCCCGAGTGACTCGGAGGATGTTGACACGTTCCGAAGACTTCTTTCACGCACGGGATCCTCCGCTATTACCTAGGCTCTTTTACTACTCCACTTATGGCCTTTCGACACATCCCCTTTTCTCGACAAATGCACTTAGGTATTCGTCAGATCTGAAGACTTCTTGGAAATGCGCAATTGTGTCATTGACTGAAGAGTTATATTTTGACTCGCGCTGGACCAATGCAGGGGCTAGGTCAAAGTCCGGTAGGCGTTATTGGAAATGTGTACCCGTAACAAATACCAACATTTCTAAGGCAAGATCTTACTTCGTAGTCGTACCTGTAAGGGGTTAGGGGTTGGCGTTAAAGGTTAGCGGTGAGGGGTTGTGGTTTGAATTGGGGTTGAGGGTTGAAGTTAGGGTGGGGCTTGTCAACTGCAGTTACGGCTACGAACTGAGACCCGACCATTCTTAATGCGACAGCACGACCAGTTGCAGGCATACCCGCACCAGTTAGGATCCGAGCCGCCCCCTTTTTGCTGTTGCGTAAAATGCTGGCCGGTGTACATCGTGGGCCACGAGGCCTGGTGTGCGTCTAAGCGTGTGTTTTCGCCATGCTAGCCACCTGCGCCCTCTCCCGCCTCTGGTCTTCTTGACTCTGTCTTGACACCAGATCCAGGTGGAGGATAAGGAGAGAGAGAGAGAGAGAGAGCGGTAGGTGCTGCAAGTCTTCTATCCCCATAAATTAATTCGCGCGCACGTTGCCGTCCTTGATCTCATCCTGCTGTGGAGCGCACAGTGGACATCATCGGCGGCGGCGGTCGGACCGTCGTTACTGCTGTTATAGCTCTATCTGTGCAGCTTGTTGGCATTTCTTCCTACATTAGCTCTTTTCAGGTTGCCACTGGGTTGGCGTTAGATGAAGGCGTCAAGGCATAAGTATTAGGCTCCCACTTTCCACCTAAAGCCTACCGAGTACTTGGGTGGGGTGTGGGGTGATGCTCCTTCTATGTTCCGCCTGTGCCTCTTACAACGGGTGGGCAGGAGTTTCGCTGGACGGACACGGGAAAGCAGGCCAGAGTAGGGCACACGTTACCGGGCTGTGCATCCATGGTAAATGTTATACGTGCGGGGTGCGACCGCACGTCTAGACGCAGGCTCACGTCGCGCCAGCCAACTGCAATCAATCCCGTCTCCAAACTTCTTGACTCTGGCATGGCATCGGGTCCTGGAGGGCGGGGGAGGAGAGAGTGCGGTAGATGCTGTGGAAGACCTCCACAACCATAAACGCATTCACGCGCAAGTCACCATCCTTGCATCTATCCTGCTGTCCGGAATACGGTAGATATCGTTGATAAAAATGGTCAAGCTATCATGTGTAATCAATATATTGCATACTGTCTGCTGCATATCCAAATATTTGACGGTTATTTTTCAGAAGCCGTTTGTATCTACTGGCAGATTTTGGATTTAAATTTCCAGGTCGACATCTCTCCATGCTTCTCCGTTGATATTCTGCGGAATCATTAGCAGACCATGTATGAAAATAGCAGAGGGTTTTAATAAGGGCGCATGTAGACTGACACAGCGCTGTTTTGAGTTCATCCCTGACCAAAATCGGGGCCAGGGTCACAAATATGCGCGCACATACGGTGCAGATGCTCTTTGGATGTGCTTTATCAAATGGTAATAAGCACTTCACAGAACATATGTTCGTCGGTGCCTCGTTATTTGACAATCTCTGTTGCCGCCGATTGTGTATACGCAAGGAACAGATGTACGCTGTCCTAGTGACTTCGCGAACCAAGAACGTTTCAAAGAGTTTGCAGGGGTCACCGGCGGGCAATTATCGATCAGGCCGAGCTCAGCCATAACAATAAAAGTCGCTATCGTGACCCAGTTGGATCTGATCGTTCGTTGATTGCTCGGCACCTCTGCCATACATTTAAGTCTCGTTTTCTTTGGAAAGTAAACGGAGCGGTGTGTACCTATTCCGGTAGGAACATAGGCAAATATACAAAAATTCTACCGAGGAATGGAAGAACGGATAGTCATTTCTAGCGAAGTGAACGGTCAGGCATTAGCTCAAGACTCGCCACTCACAGTCTTTGGGTACTAATAAGACGCTGACCGTTCTCATATGTTAGGGTCTGCCTGAGGGTAAACAGGAGATAGAATATAGATTTCTGCTTATTCTTAGAATTTAAAAAAATGAAGTATGTATTTTTTGTCGTTTTCGGCTTCTTAATGAGAGGAAATTAGCTCTCCATTTCGTACCCATCAGAAGATGGGCCGTGTTAGATGCGCTGACCTCATTTTCCTTACTATTTGTTTGCATAACGGTCTAATGAGTAAGATTTTGTGCGGCCCCTGATCCACTTTTTATTCTTAAAGGGACAGAGATTAAGTCGTTTTCCTTCGTGTCAAGCCTCAGTGTTGTAAGACAATAAACATTTTGCACAGGAAGAACCCGAGGGTTGGATGATAGGACCATCTGTTTTCCTCGAAGGCCTTCAGAGTGGTTGCAGTGAATACGAACGTACGTCCCAGGCATTTAAAAATTCTTATTGTGATGTTACCTTGTACACTGTCTCAGTCATTTTCCCGTCCCTAAGCGCTAGGAAAAAATCCTTGAGAAATCACTACGTTGGCGGCACTTCCCCTGCTCAAAGCGTTTTGGGGGAAATAAGCCTACCCCTAGACTCCAATGTTTGAAGCTTCAGTAGCAACGGAGCATATGAAAACCTGCAGCATCTATGAGGTTATGGGACGATAGTGATTACAGACATAGGGTAATCCCCCTGCAACGCACCCGATTTCCACATGCTATTTTCCCACCGATCCAGAAAGCCGAAAACAGACTTCTCTAACCGATGTCCCAGTTCTCAAGGGGAAAACGGAACTTTTCTGAACTCAGTGGGGCACCAGTGTCAATTTAATCGCTTCTAGGATCTTCATCTGAATCATCCTATGGTGAATGACGAGTTCCGACACACGATAAACCTGCAGGCAGCTGGATAGATTCGAAGGTTGATACAACTTTTGTAAGTAACATACGCCTCATAAAATGTGAACTGATATGCTGAAGTATGGTATTAGTTGGAAAGGGTTACCTGGGTGAGGTTGTGATATTGACTATCATGCAACATAATTCCAAGATGTTTCAGTTGCATTAGGATGCCGACTTTTGAATGCGCACTCTTTCGACTGTCAGCAAACATCGCATTTATAGATGACTACTTGGACAGTACGTATTTTTCCGTTGCTTTTTGGTGCTGCTGCAAATTCTTACCTAAGTTATAGAAAGCATACTCAAAAACACTATTTCCTATATATATTTTGTAATATACTATATTCGACCCAAATTTTCTTTTAAAAGATACCATAGAGTTTATTTTGAAAACTTTATCCAATCACGGGATAATTTTGAATTCAGCCTGGTGTTGCACTATTGTTTAGGGTATTTAAACTACAATCCGCACACTTCCAATCTTTTTGGTCTCCTCAGAAATTTATACGTTAACTGAGAGTAAATCAGTCAAAATGAAGCTTTGCGGGCTTAATTCGAAATCTGATGTGAATATCTGAGCTAAAATCTATCGGAGTCAGCGAGATAATCGCGCAATATCTGAAAACTTCCCACAGACAGCCAGTAGTACACACGGGCATTATCTAGTACCTATTCGACTAGTATGGAAACGCAATACAACATTATACACTTTCCATTAAATAAAAATATACCTTCCTCTATGCAACTAAAGAAGTATTATATAGGCTCATAAAATTGTATGCCTGTCCTCCATAAAATATGTCCGGACCTAAAAGGACGTACCACAATTCTGCTCATTTTAAGACCTATTTTGTAGGTTGTCGGAATGGACGCGCATTTAACAGACAGCATCCTATTTTGACTAAGATATTTTGAGACTAGTCTGCATGATAGTCAATACTACAATCCCTCGTAAGCAATTCTTTTTATTTGATATCATATTTCGGAACTTCAGTTAGCATCTCATGAGATAGATCAAGTACATTAACTGCATCTTGACTCTCCCAAAAATTATGTTACGTGGAACATGTTCACCACACGACATAAGAACCGCTGCAGTGCTGCTTATTAGAGATGGCAGTGAGTTGAAAGAGAACTCGGGTCTCTAGACCACGAGGTGGACACCGTACCTGACCAGTCAAATGCCACTGCACTGGTTAACAGGGTGGGGTACGGGATGGGTAAAATGGATACCGAAAAGGACAAGTTAGATTATGGCAACAGTTTTTAGCTCGTCAGTCGTTTTCAACCAGCCATACCCCAACCCATGTTTAGTAACCTGACCAGTGAAAAACCCTTTATCGATGGCATTTACGATATTTATGTACAGAAAAGGATCCTAAGCCATTACCCTTTTTGTTATTTCCTAAGACTAACACAGTTTTCCCGTAAACGCTCTCCTAATTCGAGTTATGTACGATTACTTCTACTCAGTCGTTCAGCCGATTAAGCGCGCCCTGTGACAATTAGGAAGGGCTATTTAACGTTTTTGAATCATTTACATTTTGATGTAGTCAGCCCCATAGCTACGGTAAATTTTTCTTCGAACTTTAGGACGCAGATACCCCCAAGTAGAAGTACCAGCTTCAACTAGTCATTTATTTATGGGTAACTTTAAAACTATCTGGTGCTGAGTCAGGAATTAAAATTTGCCATCAGCCGCGCCTGGAAGGTCATCTCAGGAAATCTACCTTCTCAATATTTGGCAGATGTATCCTTCTTGCTGAAACATTGTTATTCTTGGGTCTCCCTCACCCTAACTTCAAGTGAATTTACTGACCCTTTTTAGAATTGTGGAAATATCGCGACGAGAGCAATAATTTCTTCCAAAGACACGAGGAAGAACTAATTGAAGCAGACAAGCGGGCCGAGCTTGACCTGGAAATTCGCGTTCATGTGAGTGCTTTCATTCTACTCTTTTGTCGACAAGCTACTGCACGTGATCACCAAGACATGCATCTGGACTTCGGTTTAGTAAACCGATTGGAAGACGAATCGCTGCTAGATCCACTTAAGGTACCCCGAGCTTACTAGTGCCTTCTGCGTCAAGGTCTCACTTGCTAGACACTTTCTGTTTGGAATGTCGCTCCCTCCGCAAATTTCTTGAGGATGATCGGTTACTAAAATGAAGGTTACTTTAGGTCCTGGATCTCTTTAGCATATGTACGTGGCTGGATATTCTAAGAAAATTATTTCAGTTATGATAAAAATCGTTTCAAAAAACTGCCTGCTGACATTATTTGCCTTATTCGACAGAGTAAAAAAATCCCACCATTACTGAAACGAGACTGACAATGGCTGACCGATGCTTTAACAATTCTGAACACAAACAAGGCCGTACTCACATGGACCTTTAACTTCACTCTTTCTCGTGCTTCGCCATCTCCAACGCAACCCAGCCAGTCACTCGAACATTCGTTTAGTGGATAAGACTGCATTTTCGCTGGAATACTTGCCAAAACCCCAACGATACTTTTCCAAAAACTTCTAAGAATACCTTTAAGGGAATTCTAAATTACCGTTTGCTTTGAATGCTAGAGTATACGGATTAAAAAACCACTTAAGATTTGTCCGACAGACAAGCTGGTTCCTGTCACATTCGTTGGGGCAGGAAATTTTATTCAGGATGCCATGCAGCACGCCTCCGCCAACACTCCTTTCCATTCTAATACTACTAGGTCGATGAATTAATGCGCCAAGAGTTGCGCAATTTGAAAATTGCCATAGACAAGGAAAAGCAGAAGCGGATTCCAAAAAAGAAACCCAAAAAGCAGAAGGGGAAGAAGAAGGGCAAAAAGGGGAAGGATCTCACTCCTGACCGGTAAGTTGTCGGAGTTGTTTATCGTGAGAACGAATTGCCACTGATGGACCACATTGCAGCAGGCGAAGAAGCATCCGTTTATTCCCGTTTCTTTGTATTGTGGTGGGTAATCAAACAACCTCCCCCGCAGCGACTTTTTGGCTGAAATTTGTTTCATTTCACGGCAGGAGCTCCTTCGTCCCATGATCAGATGTCGGGTGTTTTTTTCGGTTTGGGAGCAAGGTCAACTCCTAGCTGTCTTAAGAGCCAGTGACGGCCTCAAAAACGGCGTAACTGTACGGAAATGTCCACCAGACTCTTGGTTGTTGTTTGAATCGTCTCGGCTTGCCTTGGAGTGTTTATCGCGTTCGATAAAATTTTGGAAAGACCCGTTTTTCATACGAAGCCTTTGGAGTTAGAGAAGTTCAAAAATTTTTTCTCCTGGCCCTTTGATGTTTGTTTGTTTAACTTTGCAGGTATTTCGAACAGAGCTGTGTTTGCAGTACAACGGATGCCTCTAGTGGTAGCTTATGAGTCGCCGTATTTAGGTAGCCTTCCCATAAATTATTTTAGGCACCCTTTAGACTTTCGATTGACGAGGGCGTCCAGGAACGCCAGATGCTCACTGTTCTCTACCTCTACTGTAAACTGGGTGTCCGGGAAAACTGAATTTGAGTCGCAAAAAAATTCCGGAACCGTTCCCTACTTTATGAGGATAAAGGGATCATCAACATATCTCGACCGAAATTTATGCCTGTGGGGTTCAGCGTTCCTAGCTTTCATAGAACTGCCACTGTGACGAAGTTTGAAAACAACGTTCTTACTGGTACAGCTGTGTCCTGTTTGAGCATGTTTCATTCGAGTGGGAAGTACGACTCCAGTCATTCTTTAAGGAGTTTGCCTAGATGTCTTCGCCTCCTCTTCTCATCCAACTAGTTCTGCCGTCTATCGGGCAAGTTGCTGACTGTTTCGACCGTCAGATTCTGCCGAATTGAAGTGACTGGAGCCAGCCAGGGGATGCAAACTAGATCTGCGGTCTGGACCCGAAAACCGAGATAAATGTTTGGATGTGGACGATGACCTGCCAAAGCCCAAGTACATGCCTCGACGTCCTCCTACCGTCAGTACTCCGACGCAGCCACCGCATCTCTGACCCCTGCTGCTAAGGCTCCGCTCGCATAAGCGTAAATCCTATGAACACTGAGGCACGGAACAACCTCGTTTACGACAATAAAGACCCTTCGCTTTTGTAACTTCGAAACAATACAGTCGTTGTTGCTGGTATCGACGTTTTTTCTAGTCCATGCTAACGGGCACCTTTTTACGCTTCTGTTAGCTATAGATAAACATGAGTACAGAAGGCAAATACCGACAAGGACAACGGAGACTAAAATGGTCATTCCTGGCTTACTACTCGCTAGCAGTCAGTCATAACCAAGTCCAGGTTTTGACCATCTGGGGTCTCAACCCGAGATCTTTAGCCATTGATTCGAACGTTCTACCGCTGAGCCGCGGATCCGCTGTCCGTTATATATATGGAAAAAGAATGTAGGACAACCTCTGAGGAAGAGGAGGAGGAGGAGGAGGAGGAGGAGGAGGAGGAGGAGGCGGATAATTTATTCATCTAACGCTTCGCACTCGTATGTCAGACATTATCAGAGATAGACATAAATGGGGAAGTAGTAATTTAAGTGAGTCCTTCTTACTCGTTCCTGATAGGTACAGCACTTTGTTCTCACAAGTCCTCCTTTATTGCTCAAGTGGTGCATGAGATCTCGTATGGCGCATGGAGGTCGATCCTACGGCTTATCTAGATGGCGTCAGATTGTCAAGCTTCCAACAATCTCTCTCGCCATCCTGCCGCCGGCTCGGTCGAGTACCTATGAATCTTCAAAGTCAAAATGAATATCGCGTTCCGGACTATGCATGGCAAAATGCGATCGCACATACTGCCGCTTTATGATTAAGGTATTTGGCCAGACACTTGACGTGTCCTTACGTGGCAACCGACCCTTGCGCTGCATGAGTAAACAGCAAGTGGTGGCCTCCGGTCGGTGTCCAAGGTACAAGCATTTGTCAATGAAGCTACGTGGGCATCCATTGGAGAGAAAGAGGCGCAATAGGGATCTGCGATCACGCGACTTCTCGGCTTCTGTGCTGCGGAGTGTGTTGATGCGCCTAAGAAGCGCCCGGATGCAAATGCATTTGTGCGACAGAGGATGGTCGCCGTTGTAATGTAGTATTTGCTTCGTGTTTACCGTTTTTCGAAAGACAACTGTCTGGATAATTTCGGCTCCCTGTTCCCATACCTTGATATCGTGAAAAGGGAGCTCTTCCTTCGTCTTGAATTGAATTCAGGGGAAAATCGAGTTTAATTTCCTTTAAAGGTCTCCTTAGCGTATCAGGTTAGGATGACCGGGGTTTCGTCCTCGTAGCGCTTCCAGAATTTTTACTTGTAGGACTGGAAGACCCAAGTTCCCGGTTCCCGCAAGACCGCCTCGGTGACGTAACTGGAGATCGAGGATCTCATCAGGGTTCCCTGGATTTGCTCATAAATATGGTCGTTAAACGTGAAGTGCTTGCTTAAACAGTGCTCCAGCAGTTCCATCGCATGCCTCCTTTAAAGGGTTTTCCCCCTTCATCGTATTTCTTCTGCAGCAGATTACTGACGACTCTCTCGACCAATTCTTTAGGGGTGGGAGTGAACAGAAGGGAGCACGTCAAAGGATACCATTATTTCGTCGGGGCCTATTGTGACCCCCTGAAATTCTCCAGGAAGTGCGTTGAGAGTACAGCTGTGTTCTGGACTTTCCGTCTGCTTGGCAAGCATTGAGCCAGTCTGTATATAGGTGTGATTTTCAGCGCCACGATGGGTCACAGCGGAACGTTTGGTATATGCATTTGTGGCAAATTATAGAAAAACTCTAAGGCGGCATCTTGCGGACTCCTCTGTTTCCAACCCTTTTTTGACATTGTCTGTTGGTTCTTCATTAGGTACAGGCGCTTGTTGATTTTACACGCCAGCGTTTTCATGGAGCCAAGGTCGATGGCTTTATATGACTGGCTGCCGCTAATAGCTCCGGAGCTTTTGCCACGTACTCTAACTTTTCCAGGATCACGGTTGCCTGTCCTTCGTCCGTTGGAATAATCACAGCTTCCTGTTCCTGTTTGATTCCCTAGTGACCTTACCTCATCTGAGAAGATGGTTCGACGTGACCCATGGGGTATGATGAGAGATCCGATTTGCTGACAAAATGGTTTCTTGGAGTCTTCTGTGGTCTTCTTTCTGGAGATTACATGCCAGGAGCACTAATTGCACACACCTGTTTGCATAAAATTAAAGGCCAACCTTGTTTCGCCACAACCCTTATTTAGTAAAATTACCTCCGACAGTATTAAACCCAGCCCCATTCCCGACTATTCACTATAGTCGCAGTGACGAAAGGCGAGCCACCGCTAGTGATTTTACGACTGCAAATGCATGTGTTTTGCTTGCCTACTTCAATCAGCGTTTATTGCATTTTGGGTACAATTGTAGGTTGAGGCGATTGCTCTCAGGTCATAGCTTTGGTTTCACTTGTCTACAGCTTTTCAGTGGAATTTCGTACATCACTGAATGAATAAGAAATCCATACTGAAGATAACGGCCGCCCGAGAGAGCGGCTGTTTTCTGCTCCCCTTTGGCAAGTGATTTGCAGACGACAACATAAGACCTCGTTTGACTTGTACCATCCTGTTTTGAGGTTACCACGCGCTTGTTTGTGTGTCACGTGTGTGGTTTGCCCTTCAAGTCTGAGCCTCTCTCTTTTTAGAACCCTCGAGTCGCTTTACGAAGAACTGGTCATGGAGGACATCATAAAACGAGTGGAAAAAGTGAACCTATCCGACTACTATGGCGAGTATTCCTACCTGGGCTCCACGCTGAGGGCTAATCAGATTGAACCACAGCCATCGCTTAGCGATGTCAAACAGTTAGTCACTCTCTACGCCATCCTACCCCTAGGTAGGTATAATAGGCTTTTAGAGGTCCTCAATATGTTTTTTTCGTTCAGTAAAGCCTTATTTTAAAAATAATCAGTCTGTCAATTAATTACGACTTCTGGATCATCAGCGTAGTGAGTTGGACCGAAAACCAAAATTCGAAGCGTGCCACCTGGTGGCATTTCAACTTAAATGGGAAAAGTGGTGCCTTCCTTCCATATTGGTTAACTTGCCAGCTGAATTTTGGAGACTTTCGAATTCCCTAAAATAGCGACTGCTTTCATTATTGTCACACGCGGACATTAAAGCGAGGACACAGCGTGGCCGCGTCCCATCTGGGACTCCAAAAGGAGGCTACTGATCACCTGCACGAGTTTTGCTTCTGCTAAGGATGCCAGCAGACGTTAAGCTACCATTTATGACAGACCGGAATGACCCGAACTCTTTGGTCATTGAGCAGCTTATTCATAGGCCCCACCACTGAGCCATGTGCTCGAGTCCTGTCAGCTGCAAATGGCCTTGGAAAGACGTTCACAGGTTTGTCTTGATCACAGAGTAGTTTCGAGTGCTCGCATTCTTTGCTGTGCCGCTGCCCGTTAATGTTTTGACTCGACCTACACTCTTTTTGGTTCCCCTTAGTTTACAATATTCGGTTAGTCGCTAATTTTTGTCCTCCAGTTTAGACGATAGACTGCCATAACTGTCGATCCTGCATAAGATTGTCTCGGGCATTTGAAGAACTGAAGGCTCTTTAAGTCAGGTTTTCACGGCACCATCGTGCTGTTGGTCCAGTCCCCCTTTCTCGGCGACCATGTGTATCAAGGTGCGTCGGTTGCCAGGTTCCCCAATATTTCGTATCGCTGTGTCCGGCACAGACATCATCCGCCGATCGGTTGACTGTCCAAATGACCAGAAGGTGCCTCCGGCCGACATTAACAAAACCCCTCAGGTTCTCGCTCGCTATCACCGGCCTGCGCACTCTGTCTAATATTATTCCATACAAACTGGACTTCTCTGATTTCCGATTTCGGAAAGCAACTTTATGATCATTCCCTATGCATAAAAGTATGTCGAGTTATATCCACATGCCTGGGCAAAGGGAACAACGAATTGCAAAAGAAGCTGGGGTCAGAATTACAAGTGGGGATGGGGGGGGGGGTTAAACTTCTGCCCGAGTTCTATCTAAGCATTCTCATCCTTATAGGTTCTCCCGACGTGCATGCCAGGGGTCCGCTCATAAAATCCCTCCTGCTTGCCGGACCCAAAGGTGTGGGCAAGACTTTGCTGGTACATGCAATTTGCAGCGAAACAGGAGCTAACCTCTTCGACCTCACTGCTAGTAATATAGCCGGCCGATACCCTGGCAAGGACGGCCTTAAAATGATGATTCATATGGTCTTCAAGGTTGCCAGCTTGCTGCAACCCTCCGTCATTTTGGTGGACAACTGTGAAAAAATGTTTTCGAATAAGGTGCCCAAAAATGACCCGGTAAGTCTCAGCCGTCTCTGTTTTTTACCAACTACAATAACCCCTCTGTTCCTGCCAGACAAGTTGTGACTTAGTCGCACAAGTATGCTCGTAAGATTAGTTGTCGCGCGCCATAATTAAAAGACAGTTCAGCCACGTCAGGATGTCAGCTTTCGAACGAGCGTCTTTTCGGCCGCTTGTGAAAACCGCACTCTGTAAAAAATTGCTAATTGATTATCATTTACGTTTGATGCTCTTATGCTTCCAACTATATTTTATGGAGACCATGCAACTGAATATACATTGTGATCATTTGGTAGCAAATCACAGCTTCTTCAAAATTTATACCTCAAGGAAGGATATATTTCGCTTTTTAAAAAATTCTGTTTATGAGATTTTTTACGATCATGAGGTGTCTACTCATATGGCACCGTATCCGTTTATTTAGCAATGTTACTTGCAAAGTATGGAACAGCATTCAGATCCACTGCAAAGTTTTCTGAGCTCTATATGACGTCTTCTTAACAGAATACGTAAGCATGAGATTTTCATTACATGGAAGATATGCAGTTTGTCGTCTGGAAACCCAGAATACAAGTGTAACGATCATGCTTAGGTGTTCTTTTCTAATCGAAGGCACATTTCAGAATTTCGGTTAACATTTAATGAGATAGCACAGCTACTGTAGCTTTACGTGCTTTCGGAGTCTTAAACAGAGGGAGTGAGGCTTTTCTACTCCTCTGGGAGTCCGATCTGCCGTTTACAACGGAAGTTAACATCATAGGCTAGCATCCTTTCACTATATCTTTGCTGATCTAAAAGGAAAGCACCAAAAACATCTTAGCTATTGTGAACATGTGAAGTGTCCGCCTAACGTTTGTCTGACGACCATGCCTATTCGCAGAATCATGTTGATGGAGAAAATTTTTACAAGTGATCTTTGTCAAGATTGCACGATTGTAATTGCGACCGAAACCACTAAGCCCCCGTAATCCTCAGACAATTTGTGCCCGCAGAGCGTCCCTTACACAACCTGCTAGGCAGGATTTTCCCGAGAGCCACCAAGGTACTATCAAAATACTCTTGTACATATTTTCTTACGAGCCAGGCGACCATATTATTTCAGCCATGCGTTCCGTAATTCTCGCCGAAACATCAGCCTCATCTGTCCTTACGCCTGGAGGTTGCCGTGGCAAAAACAATCGGCTGAAAGCATGAACTGTTTTCTTACTCTGTGCAGTGACATAGTTCTTCATTGAGCCGTAAATGCTCCGCGCCTTATCCCCTGCTGAATCCCTTCACGAACCATTCGAATTGTTGTTTTCTCAAAAGTGGGCAGACGATGTCCCAATCGGCTAAATTTAAAATTGCAACCATTGCTTTCTAAGTCGCTTATACACTCATTTGCCGCTGCAAAGGTTGTCATACCAATCCTGGCTCTCTGACTTTTGATTTGGTAAACCTCTCCTTGTCGATCAACTACACTGTGACAAATACACAGTAGAGCTCCGGTCACCGCGCCTGCTCTCACTTTGCTGTGGAGCACACGGTGAGCAGCGTCGGAAACGGCGGTCGAACTGTCAGATCGCCAATCCTTCTCAAAAATATCATTCCTAGGAACAAAATACCGCCCGCAGGTGAATTTACCTTTCGCGAAGTAAACTAATCTTGTAGGAAATACCGAAATGCGTTCTAGTACATGTATCATTGCCTGGATATGGGCCATCATAACAGCTGACAAGTCTGAATTGGAGAATTTGCCAACCCCATATGAAACACTTGGGAACTTCCTACCTGCACTGTGTATATTTTCCCAAGTTTCGGATACTTCTAGAAGATAACACTTCCTATTAGAGGTTAAACGTAAAAAATTAGTTCGATAAACGTGCTTTGTGGGAAATTCCTTGATTCTTGAAAATTTGCACATCAAAGTATGCTATGTTCGGTATGTCAAAAGTTCTTCTCTGCATGGGATTTTTCGCGTAACAGCCTACGTTCTTGTGTTCTTAGGACCCTCAAACTATGTTGTATGCTGGCTCCTGTCAGGTACACTAACTACTTATTGGTGTTTTTGCCAAAATCTGAAAAATATAGCACATTGGCAAAATCAGAACCCAGAAATCTGCATCTACACAAAACGCAGTGGTTCTGAATCATGAGGCTTTTTAAACCTACACAATCCGTAGTTTCAAACACGTAGTTTCACGATAACGTAATTCTAGAGGCCGAAAAGGGACGAGTCCCGACCTATCTCTTTGAAGTAAAACAGTTACCTCCATACAAGCAATAGGAAGGATAAAAAATATTTCTAATAAGTTAGTTGCGATTTTGACCGGTCGCATTACATTCAATAGTTAGGAGAACTCTCGGTGTTATACCGGCAGGCCATTTTGTTTAGAGTAATTTACGAATGATTTTGAACCCATCAGTACCGGACGCCCACGGAAGGTATAGCTTTCCCAGCAGGTCTGTTGATTTCTCCAATTATACCATTTGACGCACTTTGCAGGTTCTTTTACACGCGGTCTGGCTCATTATTGATTTCACTATCTTTGATTTAGACCGATCCGAAGCGTTTGAAAGGAGCTCTGAAGGCTGCACTGAAATTCGTAACGCCAGACACTCGAGTGCTACTTATTGGTTGTTCCAGTGCCCCATTTGAGGCCACAGTGAAACCCTTCTGTTCACTGTACGAAAGAGTCATCTTGATCCCTCGTCCGGACTATGCGTCTCGATACCGTAAGTTGTAATCTTAACCGTCTGTTTCATCTCCACTTTCATGTGAAAACCTGACTTTTCTTACACCTCCATCGGTATACTTGGCACAGCTAGGACACTCCTGTCCCTCTAAGGGCCTTTGACTACGCTAGAGTAAAGGCCAAGGACTCATTAGTAAGCAACTGGGGTGGACAGTGGGGCCTGCGTGCCAGTTGTTAATATATCTAGCCTCTGTAGAACGCCGAGGATGCACTCCTACGCGTTATGTGCAGCAAAGCTACACGGGTTAATCACAAGACATGTTAAGCGCTGTCGTTGGGTGGCCGCATCTCTACCGTAACGGCCGACGGTCCTGAAAAGGTCTAAGTATCTTTTAAAAACAACCTTGCCTGTGTCCAATTTAAAGTGATATTTGAAAACACTTGAACACCGCATCGAGGAGGCACGGGGCTACGTACGGTAGCGTCATGCATGGTCTAACTATATTACCTCCCCTGTCCCAAAGTGAAGACCAGGAACTTGGAAGTGGGCAGCACTCAGACATTTTCCTTAGGTATTCTGCTCTCTGGGCAACTTCTCTGATGTGAGAGGGGGGTGAAGAGGCAGCTAGGATAGCCCTACCTACCGGTCTATTTAATTGGAGGGAATCTTATTCCCGGTGGTTGAAACGTTTTCGGCTACAAAACGGTTACAGCACTACAGTCATCGAAGTCTGAAAATATTCAGAGGTAGGTTCGTACTCGCCTGTTTTTTCCCTTTACTTGCAATGTAAGGGTCGATCGTTTTTGACTTGTGCAGCGTATCCCTTAATGTAACTTATTTCGTTTGCACATGGGAAATTGTGCCTGACGGAAGTCACTAACAGTCATACATGTCCACGTCGGGATTCAAACCTCTTCTTATCGGACCGTATCTTTTTTCTTAACAACGAACATCTAAACCGACTAGACCGACGTCTGCCTGTATGCTCTTTCCCGCCGATGATCATTGTTATTATTGAGTTGTTTGCTGCGATGGTATTCGTGACGATTATAACGACCATTGTTATCAGTACAATTATCATCATAGTGCAAACCCACGAAGCGTGCGATAGGAAGATGTAGTGGCTACTTAGATGTGATTACAGTAGCGGCCGATTGGTTGGCTCGGCTTCCGGAGGTCAGTTTTAAATAAGCCGCGGCGGTTTAAAGACGACCCTGAAACATTCCTTCAAATGTCGTGGTGAGAGGTTTACCCAGTTGCGCCAAAAGCCGCTGTTGTGGCATTCGTCTTTCGTTTCATGGCAAAATAAGGTTAACGGTCAAAGCAAATCACCTAGCCAGGCACGACAGAAGGCCGCAGAATGTAGATGAAGCCTGACTATATTTCGGGGGATCTTCCTTCAGGCTAGAATGAGAGAAGCACGACTCAAGTTGGCAAATTTCTGACAAGATGAACGTACAGACTGGATACGCCCAACAGTACAAGCAACAGATCCCACGTGTATGTGGCGCAGTTTCGTTCTCGGATATGAGCATCACAGATGGCTTCAAACCGACTAGGGTTAGATGGAAATCTATTCCACCCAACACCCAGTCATTATAATGGCGTCGCCGCAGCCCAGACTACGTTCTGACTCTTGCTAGAAGCTTCCTGAGCAGATAGTCTGTGATGAACGACGAGTTTTCATAGAGAACAGCCAAGTTCACAGTGGAGTCGAAATGACACAAAAGCCGCAGGTTTCTGTTTGATGACGTCCTGTTTGCCAGACTTACATCGTCAAGTCACTTCCATTTTCTGGGTGCCCAAAATTCCTCCGGAGTTTTTGTGAAGAGGCTTCAATCAAATTCACGAAGAACGGCTGGGGATCGGCTCAACCGCACCAGGAGCCACCGTTTTGTGGACACTCTTCCCCTGTCGCCTTATGAGATTTCAGGGGGAAAAGCAGCATCCGTCTGGCGTGTCCTTCTTCATTTTGACCTACTTATATTTACCTAAAGCTGGCTTTGTATTCTGTCTTTCAAAGTGATTTGGCAGGTTCTCATTCCAAAGTACCAAGGTGAGATAACGGATAAACTCGATCTTTCTTCGTTGGCCAAAATCTCCGACGGCTACACCATGGGGATGATGGCAAAGGCGTGCCAAGAGGTACTGACTGAGAGGCGGTTAGCCCTCCTAGAACACAAGCCTCTGACAACGGGTGAATTTATACTCCCACTGTCACGCATCGATCCAGTCTTCCAGGAGGAGGAGGACGCATACAAGGTGAGCCCCACTTATGCCAGTACAACTGTCGGCCCCATATGCATGGCCTATTCTCCCCAGCAGGAGCACTATAGACACAGCCGCAGGCCAAAAGACAACGAGGCCCATCAATGGTCCGGGGTGTGCGCAGTGGTGGCCTGCACAAGCACTTGCTTCGACAGAGGCATAATTACGTAGCATTTATCCCTTTCTCCATTCCCGCACCTGCACCACACGTCACACAAGACCTGAGCCCTTCTCACCCGGCATTTTGGACAAAAGTGTATTAAAACTTTCTTTGATTACACTATGGGTGTGCGATCGAACCGTGTACTCAGTACCGCTGACACGTTTAACCGCAAGTCGTTCTCGCGCATGCATAAGTGACTGATGCGGTTTCATCCGGCTTCCGAGGAGTTACACGCAGGCTTACTCTCACTGTTCAGCGTTCTACGCTTACCACCCACGCGGTGCTTAGACCAGACAAAATACACACGGTCGTTCACTGGAAACTTAATATCAGGGACTGGGACACTTGACAACACTTCATTACGACTGAAGAGGAGTGTCAGTGCAGTGGCCGACAGAGTTGGACAGCCCGTTCTCGCGTACCACGCAGAACCTGGTCCTTTACTTCACTTTTAGCAGGACTCAATAAGGTGGTCTTGGATCCTACATAAGTGAGATTGGCATAAGGGCCATACTAAGAATGCCCTGCAGTCCGACCTTTGGTCCTCAGAAGGGCCGAATCATGAAGTCAATTTTCAACCTTCTAAGCATGCCATTATGAGTTTGCCCTATATTTGGTTTTTATAATGAAAAGGCGGAAGGGTCGATCCGAGCTTAGTTGACCTCGCTACTTCCCCTCCCAGTGTTCTGCTGAGTCGAGCTGATTGGAAATTAGACTGTATTCGATGACCGATTTGACGTAAAGTCGCTGGCTGACACATGCCATACAAGGTCTTGGGTTTGACATAGACGAAATATGCCACGGAAGCTGCGATAAAAAGCCACTCAAATTAGGTACCCATTCCAAAGGATGGCTTGGTAATTTCGTTAGCTGGCAACCTTTCAAGTCACGACTTTCAGTCCGTCGCGAGTTTCAGGCGAGTCAGAGTTGTGGTAATGAGGTCACAATTAAAATGATTTGGCACCGTTTTGCGTCGATATCGCTTGTTCTCTATGATCCGGGAGCGTCCTCAATGCGGTGGGTGCGAAGATGTTACATGTTGAAGAATCGAGACTAGGGCGAAATCCTGCAGTAAGAATAGGCAGAAGACATTTCTATACCGATGGCAACGCTGGGTGAGTTGGTGTTACTGGTATTGCAGTGAATCCGACGGTGCCCAGCACGGTAAACCGGTCCCACGATGATGGGTACACATTGCGGCCTCGGTCCGCGATATTTTTAGTCTTGCGTGCTCGTCATGTCGCCTTGAACTGCTGTATTCAAGTGGTTTCAAAGACTGTTGTCACAGTCTACAAGACGGATCTGTTTGCCTGTCTATCTTGCTCAAACGTTCTCCAGACCCCTTGGTTGTGTGGGAGGCAACTGGGAGATATTTCCACCGTGACCCTTCTCAGTCCATGTCCCAAATGCAAATTCAGAAGAGCATAACTCAGCCAACGATCTTGGCAGTAATATTGAGAAAGGGATATTCCCTGTGGTTCTTGCCAATTTGCGGGTCTTCGCATTTGGGCTACATCGCAGTTGGTAGCCCGGAACCGCATTACAGGTGGCTGGGGGGTTTGTTTACTGGAGTTATTTTGTGGGCCTCCATAGTCACATCGGACACATTTGGCTTCCGTTTTACGTTTAAGGTTAGGATTAGGGTGCCGGTTAATGGTTTCCGATTTTCCGGTTAGGGTTCTGCCTTTAGGCTTCGGCTTGCGGGTTATGGTTAGGGTTTGTGCGTACGAATAGGTTCCAGTATTACGGTTAGGCTTCTCAGTTACGGCTATGTCTAAGGGCTACGGTTACGTTTAAGATTTCGGCTAGGGTTAGGGTTGCCGTTAGGGTTAACGGTAACGGTTGAGGTTAGGGTTGGGTTTGGGGTTAAGGTCGCCGTCCACTTCCCATTCCGGGCTACCAACTGCGATCTAGCCCATATTTATACAAGCAAACACTTGCTGAACTCTATTAGAACACTGAATCAAGCTTGTCTGTGAACTGAGGATTGCCGTACTGGGAAATTTGTGCAGGAATCTAGTCTGTGTTCGAGGTCTTCCCTCTTCCCACACTGTTCCTACTGTCTCCTCCGGAGAGTGCGGGTGATAGAAGTCAGCATTTGTCTCCAACTGCGGAGTCGATTGGCAGCTTCCTTTCGGACTGTCGGTGAGTAGGTGAGGACGCACCTAGAGTTCGCACTCAAACTCTGCAGGATCTGCGGCTCCTCCGGCAGAGGGTCACCCCATCTGAGCCAAACAACGGCTCAGTTTCGGTAGATTTTGGAATGGAGAAGGCTTCGACGGTCACATAGAGAAATTTTTCAGTCCGCTTCGATCTTCCCATCCCTGCCCTGCGAGCTAGCCAGTTGCTTTGCATCCCTCTCCAGCTCTGCTGCACTTAGCGACGGTATTGGCAGCAGGCGGCAGTATACTAGGCTGTCTTGTTACTCATGTGGATCTTGCGAATACGGTTCTCCTCGGAGGTCAGTCGCCGTATTTCTCTATCGCTGTCATCACATCAGTGCGGATGCTTTCATCGTGCGGATCCGAAGACTTTCGTAACATTTGTGTGGATGGAATCATTTGGCATATTCCAACTGTATTTAGATTCATCATCATGCTTGAACAAGTAGAAGTTTTACCAGGTGAACATATTACTAGATTGAAAACTTTGACCCGGGGTTGTGATTAGTGAGATGATTGTTAGTATGCATATCGGCTGCAAGAGGTAAGAAAGCATCAGATGATTTGGGATTCCGTCCCGAAGTAGGACCTAGGCCCACCCAGGCAGGCCCGCAACCGACGACAGTCGATCAAATGCTCTAAGAACTTGTGAAGGGCATTCCTTTATCAGTGACATTTACTTAATTCAGACTGGCCAAATGCTGTTGGCCATGGAGACTAGACACGCATACTTAAAGTAGAACGCTGGAGCTATGCCATCTGTTTCGGTGGAATATCTTCCAAAGTCAAACTAAGCGATTCTTACCCCAGTACCGCCCTAACGACATCCGGCCGGTGGTAGCAACATAGGCCGAGCCTCAGGTTTGTCTGTTAGGAAAAACAGGACACTACTGCAGGTGGGTTTCATGAATACTTAACAAACACAAATTTTGTCGTTGTAGAGTTGGTATCGAAAAACACCGATGGGGAAGAAGCGTAGCAAGGCAATTCAAGAGGCGGCTGAGGCGGCGGCGAACGCAAGCAAGAAGAAGGGCAAGAAGAAGTAGGAGAGATCGTCCAACATGCGGCAGAGTGGACATTCAGCCACTCCAAACAGCAAATCCGAGAGGACTAAAAAGCCCAACGTGTTAGCTGCCCGGTTTCGGCTGAAATAAGTGTTTCTTGGTCAACATGGAGTAACCATCTGCCAAAACACATACCACACCCCACGCAGTTCGAAATGAAATTCACCGGCAACCGGTGCACGTAGATGGACGTTGCGTGTGGTCGCTAGGCCCACTAATTATACTCGGACTGCACAGTTTCACTTTACTCATTTTATAATAATGCTGCTTATTAAAATAGTACTTACTTATGTCAGTCAAGCAGATAACGGCCACTGCATTATATAACGATTCAGAGGGTCCGGCGAAGATTGAAACCTAACTACCAGAAAAAAAAAGCGATCGCAACAGCCTCTTCAGGTTTGTACATTTTCTAGAGGTCAGGTAAAAAATACAATATGTGGCATTTTAATGTTTGCCGCGGAGCGGCGGTTCATTTCGAGGTACTGAAAAAGCTGGAACTGGAAGGCCCTAGGAGCCTACTGCCGTCTTCTTCACACGATCATTCAAGCCCTGCCGATTTCGAGCGATCTCAATGGCAAGGAACTGGATCCTGGGGACGACACAGGTGTTGGCTTCATCGTAGCCCTTGTTTGCATCTAATCGAAGGAGGGTACCTTGATTGAAATCCTCAATAACACCCTCAAATTCCATGCAGAATGGGCGCCAAAGCTAAAAGATAAAAACAAAAAATGACGTAGCGACAAGACCCAAAAATTCAGCTGCGCTTTGCACGGGTCCTTTTTGACAATTAATGAAATCAAACTTGGACAGCAAGTGTTGCCTTGGGTGGTAAATTACGCTTAAAAAAGACCGGCGCGCAAAGGACTCTGTAAAATGCATTTACATCCTAGATATCAAGCCATCACCTCCGTCAACATGCTCTGCTTTCATGAATCCGGACCTTTTGTGAAAAAACGGAAACTCAGAATCCCTCACAAGTTGTACGTACACTTTGGTCAAAATTGCAAACTGGAGAGAGAGAGAGAGAGAGTGAGAGTGAGAGAGAGAGAGAGAGAGAGAGAGAGAGAGAGAGGGAGATGGAGAGGGAGAGAAGTGCTCACCGGCTTGATGGAGAGATGAGTCGCCGTCGGTTCATGTGGAAGTAGCGTTCCCATGCTAGAACAACCGCAGGACGGAATACGAGCGTTCTGTTTTGCGCTCTGAGGCCCTCACAGGCGGTCGCAGAGCAGTAGACAAGCGATGATTCAAAAACATGACTTGGAGAAATAATGGTTCTCGCCCGGAGCTACCAGGCAAAACCAAACTGCCGCACACCTTTCCGCGATCTAGCCAAACCGCAGTCAACAGTGTTAGTCCGTGGTTGAATTTCAAGGGCAATGACAGGGTTAACTCCGGCCCAAGCATTAAATCTTCCCAGTGTGGCTAATGACAGTAGATAAGCCTGAGGTGACCATTCCAGCCTCCTTCGCCTTTGTAGGCAATACATTTCAACCACGTGCTGCTTATGGCTATGCGCGGCTAAATTAGTCTCTACAAACGAAAACAGACCCCGATAAAGACGAGAACAAGGTGAAAACATGGCGAAGTACAAGACGGATTTCCTGGTCGGAAGACTTGAGCAAACAGGAGAAATGTACGTCGGCCACTAGCAGGCGCGACAGCTATTCGCCCTAAGGACCCTTGCAGTGTGTGAGAATGAAGGTTAGGCAATATGCAATGCTAGAATCCACTTAGCCCTCAAGTGAGCCCGAATGTGCCCATGGGAATTAACATGGATTCCAGAGGTAAAAGCAGTTGGCTTCAACGGCAATCCGACCGACAGGCGGCTTCAGCTCGATTCTAAAAGGCCGAAAACTACCACCAAGCGATAAGCCGTAGACCGGTAGCTGGAGAGAAAATTGAAAATATGATTCCGTCTCTCAATGGTTCCTTTCGCTGACGCTACCGGGAAAAAGTGAACAAAATCGTGACAGTAAGAGGCGCGTTAGGTGGCTAATTTGCAATGAGCAAACGAACCTATGAAATCGGGACGCCGGCTAGCCATAGAATTAAGGCCAGATGACTTCAGAGTCAACGAGGAGCTATCAGTCCAGATAAAACCGTTAACAGTATGAGAAGCCATGTCAGTATTACCTCCCGTTATAGCATGTTGTATGCCCCACAACCATCAGAAATAGCAGGTATTATTGAAATCGCTCCAACCCCGAAGTACCATGAACTAACAGCACGACGTCTGTTAGGAACAATCTACGTTGTTACTGGTAATGAGATTCAAGGTCCGTACAGACAAACAGGATATATAAGGGCGCGTAGGTTAGAAGGAAGGGCAGTCGTTTGGATTTCAGTACGTGCTGTGTCCCAAGAGCTTTTAATCAATGATTACTGTTATGAGCTTGTCATCCAAATATTCGAACGGATTTAGTCTTGTTGGGAGGGATGAAATTAGCTTAGTTTGGAAAAAATGCGTCCAGCAAACAGGTTATCCAGACATTTACGGCACGTGAGTTACCCAGTAAACGACGTGAAAGCCAACTAGATTTGCGAACTGGTAGGGGAGATAATGACAGATACGGCGGCGACCTATCGAACGAGTGGTGCTTTATATATACACATTTTTGACAGAGGTCGCTGATTTTGAAGTATTCTCCAGGGTACGAAGGTTACGGGAGAGTTTAAAGCGGCCAGAAACTGGTGGAAACCTGACCGAGACACAAAATCGATGAAAAACAAAACTCATGTAATAGCAGTGCTTGGTGTTGTTATAATTCGACAATTCGACTTGCCTCTTTCTGTTCTGGGGATTTAAGCATTTCCTCGGACAAATTTTCAACTTCCAGATCTGGAAATGCCTGACGGAATTTCTTGTAGATGAGATCATCGTTCGATGACAACCTCAGTTGGCGGCAGTCAGGAACGACGCAAAGGAGGCTGAAGTGTGTCTCTGCATGGTCATATGCAGCAATTGCCCATGACATTTCGATTGAACTCTAAAAATTTGTTGAAAATTGTAAAAGTATTGGCATTTAAAACACTATTAGGAATGCCAGTAGCTCGCTTTCACACAAACAGCGACTCAAAAGCAAATCAATGAGGAAAAAATGGGGTACAGACGCATCAAGTTCGAAGAACGAGTTCCCCATGCCCTATTCGATGGACAGCTGTTTAGTTCGCCAGTTCATCGATTGCTCTTTCCCAAGAAAAAACATAAACAAGACAAAACTGGAGAGTACTCGCAGCGACTTTTGACAGGGGGAACTGACACTGGTAGGACGACGATTAGCCGGTTCCGCCAACCCTTTCTAAGCTAACAAGTTGAGGGGTTCGCAGGCAGCAGCACAACATACTGTGTGAAATCCAATCTGAAGTCCATGTCAATAGAATAGCCTTTAAAGACTCACTCTGATTTTCCTCTCGATCAGTTCATCCGCAAATAAATGAAGGAGGGGAGACTTGGTGAAAAGACGCAGTTGGTGGAACGTTGGCAAGGCGTCAAAATAATTACATTCTGATTGCCAGACCACCGTCCGTTTGAAAACAGAGAATTGAGTGTGCGCTCTCATAACGCTGAACTTTTCAGACAAGATGGAGAGTCGATAACTCCCGGCCCCTAAACTTCACAATAAGTTGACTGAATCTGAATTGGCTCCTAACTACATCCTATCTGTGATAAAGGTAATTTAGCCCGCTTCACGCACCATTTTAGACGACATCATGGCGAAAAACGGCAGACTTCATATTGTAGAGCGTGTTGAGATGCCCAAAGCACGCCAGTCGGGGTCTGTAGTAGTTAGGACTGTAGCAAGCACACGAGATGGAGAGGACGAACGAATATGGCTGTAAGAGTCAGAACGAGAATACCCTATAACAGGGCTTTATTCATCTTACAATTGACGTACTGGGACTGAAAAGAGAAATAGAAAAGTAGTAGGTAAGGTGGAATTTAGCCTGGGGCTTATGTTAGCATGACATCCACCCTGGCCAACAAATGGCAGAATCGAGATGTCAAAAATCGATAGGAAGAGTTTGTATGGGGCAAAGTTCAGGCGTCTCTGTTACGAAGACAGTATGGGTGAACACGTTGTTGTTGTTGGGTTAATGTCTCAAGGTTATGCATACGAACATCGTCAGCGTTCGGAAGACTAACAGGTGTTGCATCATTCTGTCCGTCAGTTGAAACGGTGCTACTCGTAACTTTTTGCTTACTTCCGCTACAAGTTTGAGCGGGACAAACGAAAAGTGGCATACGGTCGGCATCCGCGAAATATAACAGAACATAAACCAAACGAAAAACTTGAGGTCCTCTGATGGCCAGTTGGAATATGCGAGAAAGAGTTCATATTCTTAAATTTTGTCATACACCTCATCTGATCGATCGAGAAGCCCCCTCCTATTCTGCTTATCGAAAAAACAGGAATTCTCAGTGGAAGCGAGATCTTGGTCATGGCCCACAGGCATTAGTACAAAATTTAATGGCAGACGCAAGAACATACGATACGCGTTCGGAACTTTCCAAAAGCCTCGGAACTGTCTTAATGTGCGTAAGACTCCCTGGACTGCCATCAACCGTCGAGCTATGGCAGTCGCAGCCATTACTGGTCGACCCATACGTAAGGATGCCTGCGGTGAAGACCAAAGCCCAGTAATGCACACACTTCACTTCCTAAGTTGGACCTCCCAAACCGTTTGCCCGAGTACATCCTCAGATTCATGGCGGTCAGCAGCAAAATACACCTTCGGTTACGCCTTTCTTGTCAATAATGCAGAGGCGGAGCCATTCGATTTCCATCGCGATGTGCGTCCAGACTACTTGGATTCCCATTAACAAGCGATACACGTGTCTCTGTGGATCATCGCAGTTGGAATGAAGTGCTTTGTTCGACATAAAACCGATTTACACATATGTGGGAAATTTCTGCATACGGTGACAATAGAACTCTCCAAACTTTCCTTCAGTTTCAGCCTACAATGTCTGGTACTCGTAAAATTGCAGATTCATGAGAAGGATTTCGACATCATGACTAATGGGGGACTGCATACGGCTCGGCAGGCTGTAGCTATCCGAAAGGAAAATGCAATTCCATTCTCAGTCCTAGACCAACAGGTGACCCTAATGTCGGTTAGGTGCTTCACCTCTTGGATTTCAAATAACCAAGAAGCGGAAGTAATTTATCTTACCCAAAAATGTGATTATAGAAGCTCTTAACCTTTGCGATAGTTTTAACTAGGCAAACGGACTTAGTAACTTGGTCTGCGTTTATGGCGCTCTTATTTAGGCCATTATAACTCTGTAGGTGTAGTCCACGTCAGCCTGCAGCCTGGTGGCAGCTCGACACCTCAAAACCACCGAAGCGGTCTATCGGATATTTTGTCCATTAAGGAATCTAGGATAGTTGGCATGGCTGGCCTTAGGCTGGGGTCGACTGGTTATAGGCCCTCCACCGGATGACCGAACTGGTAGGCAAGTCCTCACATCTTTTTATTACCCAGAGTCCAGAACGGTAGGGTAAAGTCAATGCACTTTCGTCAGGCGCCGGCAACCCGCGCAGAACGTAGAGCCTGCAGAATGAGGCAAAAGGAGTCCCCTGAAACGAGAAGGCCCTTGAGAAAGAGCGAGTCTGTTGAGGCCTTCAGACTAACAGCCCAGCTTTGTAGAGCACTCAAAGGCGACTCGTATGTTTATGGACGCGTTCACCAAGAATGGATATGTCCCTTCAATCGAGTTTACAATCAAGATAGCATGATCATGTCGGTGACGATTTTGACATGTTCCACGGAGACGGAGATTTTGGATCAACAGCTCTGTGTATTGGCAGTTGTTGAAAGTGTTAGTAAGGACTGGCATCACGCGGTGTGGCCTTGACATTGATGACCGAAAAATTTATTGCTGACGTACAGGCACCAACTACAACATCTTTAGGGGAAGCGGGCTGCTTCCTTAGTGACACCGTGGACAGCTGATTTTAACGCTACACACGCGTTGGTGTTCTGTTGTGCGCGTCCCGATGCAAAGCAATTGTTAGCTTTGACTGCTAACACTTCAAAAACCTATAGTTCCTACAGGTTCTGAGTCAAGACTTTTAGTATTCAGCACTTCAGGACAGCAACAAAATAGATACCGCGGCGTAAATGGGTGAGGATGCTATCAGATCTCTTGACTTCACCCATTTAAAAACGCCGCACTAACCTACGTCCGGCAACTATCGGAAATATGAATTCATCAGGATTTTGCCTATTAGACGAGATGAGGTCCCGTACATGGTGTACCAGATAAGGAGACTTTAGGAGCAGTGAAGTACTCTGGTCGTTCGACAGAGATGGTACCGGTCTGCAAAGATAAGCAGTCGCTCATCAGGTTTGTAGACGTCACTGAGACTAAAACATGTACTGATTGCTCTGTAGGTGAAATCGTAAAATCCAATCTTCCCTAAGGTCATGATGGCGTCGGAATTAGTTTCTGAGACAATAGAACAGGATGGCTTTGATTTTTGCCTTAATTTTTCTGGTTCTAGTTGAACCGAACAGTCAAATAACAGGCATTCCCAGAACCTAGCAGGCATGTGGTAAGTAAGCTGTGTGCGGCGGCTTGCGTCCTCATGGCAATTGGCAGCAGACGAAGCCTGAGACAGACAGGACAGTTGAATTTCACCAGTCCTAGGACAGCTATGAGGAAAAGGGGAACTTCTTCTGATGTGAAGTCAACGAGCTATACTTCAGTTTTTCTCGTATGCCGGACTTGCAGGAGGCAAAAACCATTTGATAAAGGGCGAATTCCATCTTCTCGAGCGAAGTCCCTGGTAGATTGATGTTATAAACATCGGCAGGACCCCAGAGGCTTTGCGCTACCCGTGTGTCCTCGAAGAATGCCACGGAGGAACAGTGAGAGAACGCAACCATGTTGGACGCCTGTATTAGTGAAGTACTCGTTCTCTTCCCCGTACGCCTGGACATTTTTTCGTGTGAAGTGGTATTATGCAGGGTGGTTGAAGGGATTTCACGGACATATCGGCGGTTGAATAAAAGGTTACAAAGAAATCGCGAGACAATTAGTCGAGTTCTTTTGAAGAATGGTCATAAAGATCCTCGCAGCAACGTTATCTGGGATAGTTTCTCTGCAACGACGGCATTTCTTTTGAACTCCCCTCTTGGGGATGGGAAGCAGGACAGCACTACCAACGACCGGATCGGTCTCAACTCTCTCGGCGAAGATGTCACGACAATCGTACCACCTGCAAAGTTGGTAAATCTGTCGATACAGAGCCCCAAAAGTCTTAATAGATTCTGTCCATGAATCTTTTCTACAACATACGTATGGGTACTCATGAATTAAGCACGAGACCAGCTAAAACCAAGGACTTTATCGAGGGAATTAAACTTAAAGCTCGACCAATTGGTTCACGCGGCAGCAAGAATTCATAATAGCCCATTGTGGGGCTTATTTAAAACAGGTCATTACGGCTACACGGCGCAGCGTCACTAAACAGACTTTGGTCACAATTAATCCGGTTGTATTAGGGAACGTTCGTGAGAAAGAAACTTAAAACGACATTGAAAGAAAAAACAAATGAAGACGTGTATGGCAAACCTGTAAGGCGGAAGTTTGAAATAAAAAACACTTACATCGTTGACATAATTTGAAGCATCAAGATCCATTGCAATATCTGGAAGTGACTGTGCTGTAGATGTGATGAGGTTCTTCCCTGACGGTAATTTTTTTGCGTCACTGGCAAATTTTCTTCGTCAAGACTCGACCTGAGAAATTCATGGCAATAACATGCGGATACCAGCATTCCAAATAAATTCCAGCAAAGTGGAGAATATGAATTGGCCAAATTCCTTACGAAACTTTATTGTCACTTCACATCGCAGAAAAAACCAAAGATCGGGTGTAACAGCAGAAAAACTGGATTGTCCGCAAATCTAGACTTAAGCGACTTGGACGATTTTAAGTTGCTCTGTAACTTGACGTAGGCTGTAATAGTCGAATATTCCGTCTTCGCCATGTCCTCGACCGTCGCGATGTCTACAAAAAAGACAGTCCAATGCTACAACCAATTGTAGACAAGACGGAACACGCACTGACTTTCAGTAGCCCTGGCTGGCTGTCGAACAACTTCCTTCACTCAACCGTTACCGAGGAACTTGATCGTTGCGGATGATTAGGAGCGAATTGAGAGCACACACACTGGCAATCGTTCGCTTTGTAAATTGTGCCATGAACAGAGGGCTGGCAGTGTGGCGGGGTGTACGTGTAGATCAAGAGAACGTCTGAGATAAGGATGGGACTATGCTGCGCGTAGTTGGATTGGCAGTAATACGGCGTGGAGGTGTGGGACATGAATATATAACTAAGTCTCCGACTGGATGAGCGACACCTGCACAGTGTCTGCCAATTGCTTTCTGGCACTTGGTGCAGCTGTGGTTATTCCCGATCTATACAGCCACGATGATGGGGTTCTTACGCAGCATCGAGGATGTTGCAGGTTATACGCTTCCACGCGTGACGATCTGCGGGGGAGGATCTGGACAGTTCAACCCGTTCTCTCCACCAGCGACGATGACTGTATATCGAAGGTCAAAGAAGCACTTCCGTGTCTTAAGGAGCTGCGTTCGACCAGGTTTTGAGTTAGCCTCCTCGACGAGGCCTTCAGATGGGCAACAGCGCCGGATCGAGGGCAGTAATACTGAGTTCATGAGGTGAGCGACGAAGAGCGTACCCTAACCCTCTCAGTCGGTTTTCTTAGAAGACCTCAGATGGCCTCGCGATCTTGTCGCAGAGTGTGGACTGTTTTATTTGAGACGAAGGTGATGTACTTCACTCGGAGGATGATTCTCAGGCGGCAGTGATCAGACATCTCCAATTTCCGCTCATCCTCCACGACTAGGGGGAGACATTACGGAGCCTTATTATTTTCTCCGGAGTAATAATACTGTGTTAAGCGTGTCGAATGTCGAATAGCGTGCTTTGTGAAAACCTTACGAAGTTCTCCAGCCTTATCTCCCTACTTGAAGGCAAGCACAAGGATGCCCGCGTCTCAGTCACCAGAAACTATCTCATCCTCCCACGCCTGCTCAATCACCAGGATCCTGAGAGCCAACGTGTAAACAGTACTTGTAGATTCCAGCAGGGATACCATCCGGGCGCCTTGGTGTTGTGCAACCTCCGCATTGCACCGGGGATTTCTCTCGTAGATTAGGAGTCGCATAACAGA